TTCACCGTCTTTACTCCTTATATTGTTTCTTTATCCTCTATCGGCTTATATAAATTCAACATTTAGTAGTGGTTAGAAAATTTAGGTGATACCCTTTTGCACAGTTGTTGGATATAGAACATATCCTCAATTCCAGTAACAGCTAATTATACAATTTATTAAAGTTTGTGGGTAAACATTCATCTTCATTGGAACACATAAAGCCAATTCTGCTTTAAAATCTATAAGCATGAGATTCTTTGTTAAAAATGGACAAGTACAGCTCCAGTTTACAGTGGAGCAATCATCCTGATTAATATATGTGTAGAATAAAGATAGCAACCCTGATGGTCTCCATAAAGTGGATCCATTAAACAATTTAATTCCCTAAGAAATTCACAGCTGAACTAATGCAGGTTGTTATATGTAAAGATACTCTGTTGAGAATGCATTTTCTATACTGTGATGCTCTAAAGCTCAGACATGCCCCCTTTAATTATATTGCTTTCAATCTCCTTGCCCACAGTTACAGTTCAGATTCTTTATTCCATCAGTGATTTCTACACATCCAGCCAAAGCATACTAATTTAGAAGTACAGCACATCCTATCAAGTTCCACATAATTCTGCTAACAATTGCCAATATACTGAGATTATCTGCACTCTTGCATTTTTCAGGTAAATGCAATAAATGCTTCTGCAATAAAGATCTTGCATCAAACCTTACAATAGTTGACTAATTATTTAATAGTACCATCAATTGACATAATGTATTACATAATAAAATGAGCCAACAATTAGTTCCTAAACCAGGAGCTTTTGACTGAAATTTAGAAACTGGGGAATAAAGACAACAGAACGAAATAAAGAAAAAAAATGCTCAAGCGAATGTATAAGCAATTTGCTACAATAAAAATAAAGAGCATCTTGGCATTCTAAAGGGAGTAGCCACTTTAGAGAGTACGCCCTGTAGTAAAATAGTAGTAAGTAAGTCACAGTCAGCCTTGCGTTTCTTGAATGGATACAAAGAGTTTTCTGTGAGCTTCAGAAGGTTCTGAAACAATAGTTACAGAATCATTAATTAACAATGATGAATACTGATGCATCCTCTTCTTTGAGATGAATTAGTAATATGAATGAAGACGTCATAACATGTCTTTTTTTGGTAGAAAAAAAAAGGAGATGCATTCTGGATGGAGATACTGTACTGTTATTTCCCAGAACTTAAAGTAGCAGCACAAACCAATTGAAACCTTGGGATGGGGGCAAAATACGACAATGTGATCGTGGGGATTCCTAGGCATTTTGAAGTTGGTGAAAGCTACAAATAGCAATTGGCTGACACAGAAATGTAATTAAGCTGAGCAAGCCAAGCATTACGA